TCAAGTGAATATATTTATACCCTTACGCTGGCTCACTCGACACCACTCGTTCTGTCACTCTTTATCTCCCTTGACTTTTATAGATTCCAAGTAAAGCTGGCTCGTTGCAAGTAATACTTACGTAGTCAAATTCAAAGTCCAAAGTAGTCAAGATCGAAGATGCGTTAGCGCGATATTTATGCAATGTCGTTGGCGAAGTTTGTTTTTCCTTTTTTTTTTTCAATGGGGAATAGACGCGTGATAGCGTATTCTCGTGTACGAGGATGATGCCAGTCAGGAGGCAATAACGCATAACTCTGACAGATCAGATAGGGCCTCGTTCGTACGCTCGTTCTACCGGCTTCGGCTATACCTTCGCGTTGGCAACTATCGAAGATATTACCGTACCGCTATATAGCATCATACGCGAACAACCTATACCCTCGTGAGAGTATATTATACCAGAGCCAGAGTCGATATGTATTTTTTGCGCTTCTCATCTTTTCCACAATGAGTCTCCCTCCCCTGTCGATATCGGGTAAGTTTTTACGATAATCTATTGCGAGGAATTTGACATCGATAATATACAAGAGTCTGGATACGTGAAATGAAAAATATTTCAAGAATATCTCAGGCAGGTTATACTGTATATATACAGCTCGATCGAATAGCTAGAAACCGTTGGAACGGACGCTGCTGGCTGGTGGATACTCTTCGAACAAATCCTTTGCGTAGCACGCGCATCCCTACTCATCTCCATAACGTGGGAAAGTGCTGACAGAAGATCTAGTTTACACGGTAGTTTAGAACGCGCCGTATAAAAGAGCCGTCTATAAGAGGCAGGGGATGCTGTATGTATCCCCCAGTCAAATTCGAGAACTCATGATATTGGTAGTCGAACATCGATACCGCACAGGGGTTCGAAGTTTATGATTGCCACGCATCCAATAACCTACGAAACACGGTATAACTCTGCTCCTCTTCTGATCCTGCAACTGGTCCCACCCTGCTACCATCCCGTAAAACTGCATTCGCTCTTCCGTTTTTACGTCTCCTCTGGGTTTTCCTAGCGACCCCATACGGTATCATTACACACCTCATAAAGCAGAACTATCCGTGGGCAGATTTTCGACTGGGACATCGTTGTCGAGGGGGATCTATGTAGGGAAATCGATGCCTGAATTTCTACCTAGACAGCAAGGTCAGACAAGCAGACGGATACACGTGTCCCGGAGTTCACGTGGGTTCGCGTCAGACATCAGGTACCTGGTTGGCTGACTGACTGACTGAGTGAGTCTTGTTCCACGGCAGTACCCCAGACTGATAGTGAGTGGGACTGAGGTCTGTAGGTTCGTGGGTGTGCCAAGGGGTCACGGGGTCAGAGGGGATGTGGCGTCAGTGCGTTAGCGGATTAATAACGCGTGGCACGAGGCTAATCAGAAGTCGGTATAGAGTTCGGGTAGCATGCAGGACTAAACACTCAGTCATTCGGTGAACGTGAGTAAGTAGGATGTATGGTAGACTAATAGTAGTAAGAATGAGCTTGGGGCATACGGTGTCTACCTACTCGCCTAACCCCATAACGATATCATATTCGCTCTACTCTCTTAGTGCGGAACCCCTCGCGTTATTAACCTCTAAGGTTACAGAAACCACCCCCGTCGACTAGGCTCTATGTAAGCCATAGTTAATTACCAGCGAGCTATACCAGGTGGGGCATGGGATGGTGTACCAAAAATAACTAAGCGCCAGAACGACGCGTATTAGCGATTACTCCGATCCCGATTGCGATAATACACGGAGGTAGGTAACGTGATTGGAAGTCTTGTGGTATATACAGAAAATAGTGACAGTGGAGTCTATATGTATATCCCATGGCGATGCCTAATGGGTAATATTAATTTTCAAGTGATTGAGAACGCTCGACCATGTCTGCTTATTTATGGTAATTATTTAGTTGACTCGAGCCCGAGTGGACTGGCTCGTCCGCACGCGGAAGGAAAAACGGGTTTTGAGCGAGATAAATAAGCGGCCTAACCGCAACGACTGATTTATGAAAGATCGTTCGCGACAGCAACTTCTATTTGCAATTCGTAGGTCGTCGTGGCTTATGGTCTGTCTTATGGTTTATTGGTTGCAGCATATGGCGAAAGGCGTATCGGGTATCGCATATCGCGAACGGAGTATAGCGCAGTGTATGTACTATGTATATTGAAATAGTATCGTGCACGGTCGCTTATACTATAGAGGACAAGTCTGTATCTCAAGAAGCGTGACTGGAAACACATTCATCATAGGATCATTGATTTCGCAATGTCGCGTCGACCCGGTAGCGTTACGTGTGCGCGCACCTATAAGAAAATAATTTAATCGCACCGATCACCGCTTTCATTATGTCGCCGGCTATTAGTAAGAACCAGAGTGGATCGATCGGCTACTGGCATTAATCGATACGCGTCGTTCCCGGCTACCGTAGACTTTATGATTGACGACTGGGCGCCGAGGTATTTCAGACAATTTTAAACCTGACTTCCGATAACCTCGACTTTGACGTCTTTCAATGGGAAGAAGTAGGACGACATACCGGGTTAATTTTGAAAAATTATAAAAATCCTTTTTCTATATATCGATATTTTATTGATTTAATGGAAGACGAGTGACGTGCTGTAAAAATGCATTTCTACAGACTGACAATAATTTCGCGCAAACCAGTTGCAAATGAGACTTTATCAAGGCCGCGCGTGTCTATTGCAATAATACACTGTGGCGGCCTGCAGCAAACGTTATTTCAGTGACGACGAAGGCTGCGATGGCTCGCAAGAAAATGATGATAGGTATAAATGACTATAGCGAACGGTGGTAATAGCTGCGGCTCCTGATCACAACTTCGAGACTACCGACGTTTATGCTAATATTCGCGTATCGACATTAATATCGTATATTTATGATCGGTCTCTGTATGACTTACGTTTATTGCTGCGACCTACGTTATCGCAATAACCAAAGAGCTACATACGTTCGTTATTCCTACAAAGACGTATACGTATAATGACTCGCTTTGATTCCTGATGATTCCGATTGGTGCTCTCGCTCTAGGGTACGTGTCCTTTTACTTTTTTTTTTTTTTTTTTTCCCCGACAAGTGCACAACATACACGGATACACCTTGCTTTCCCTTGATTAAAGTTTAATCGATGCGTCGCCATGCTTAATCGACGCACCAAGGTGTGCCGTGAAGGAGGTGTGCGTGGGGTTACAATGGTACCACGTATAGAAGGGGACACCTCCTGCGAGTTACGCAAAGATGCGAGAGATATACTTAATGCGAAAGAGAAATAAAGTTGCATAGATTAAGCTGGATGCACTGGATGCAGCTTATCAGGCGGTCTGGATGAGGGCGTCGTAAGAGGGAAGCCAGCCCTTAATTTATGCGTCCACTCCAGAACACGAGAGAGAGAGAGAGAGAGAGAGAGAGAGAGAGAGAGAGAGAGAGAGAGAACGAGCGAGAGAAAGAATGGCCCAGCACAGTCCGATGCATCAGCGATGCAATTATTATCAGCTTATTATTATATAATTGGCAGACATCGCTTAATGAGACCTCTCGAGACAGGGCAGCCAACGTTCAACGAGTCGCGCTCAAGAATCATCTATTTATTTATCAAAGCTTTAATTGACGTCCACTCGTTGGGTTAGACGGAGATGGGTAAGCTCGTACTTGAACCTGAGAATATATTCAGGCCATATAGTGCCTATGCATAAACAGCGTTACCATTCAATTCGAGCTGCAATTCCAGTCGCAACGAATGTATATAGGAACGATCGGTTCCACTGGAAAGATCCAGGGTGACTCGACGGAATAAATTGTCGCAAAAGTCGGGGAATATCGCAAAAGTGAAATTCCGGCTGGCTGAAAAAAGGGGGTTAATGAACGTGGTGGCATGAGTGAGAGAAGAGTGCGGGGCGAGTATAGGCACACAAATGGATGCTGGCAAGGCCCTACTGCGTCCTCTCCCTTCCACCCTCTCTGATTCTCTCCCTGTCTCCCGTGGGAGAGACGTCGCGACACGACGGAGGCTGCACGGGGGAACTTGGTGGGTTTAGGTATATTGGTGAATTGAGGAAGGCGGTCTTACAAAGCGCCCCGTAAATCCGCGCGCCCGGTTCGACACCCGACATTCCCTCCGTTTTATTTTTCCATCTTGTTCTCTCTCTCTCTCTCTCTCTCTCTCTCTCTCTCTCTCTCTCTCTCTCTCTCTCTCACTCTCTCTC